TAACCCCTATAACCCCTATAACCCCTATAACCCCAAAACCCCAAAACCCCAAAACCCCAAAACCCCAATTTCATAAATTTCAGTTGAAATTCAAATTTTAAGCCATCATGGAGACCTACAAGTGCGGAGAGACAATCCTGACCCCCTTTGCGGGCTTAGTGCTGATCTTGCAGCTACTTTGTTCTAATAACTTACGGGATTTCTTCTTCAATTTAGAGGTTGGCAGATCTTTAGAAGACACTTTCTTCGAATTTTGAGCTAAATTATCATCCTTTGTTTCTTCCTTAGGATGTTTACGTAAATAGTCACGTTCAAATTTTAAAAATGTGCTCATGACTTTGGCCCTAGCATCCTTATTCTTCTCCTTCTGGGTTTTAGACCTCCTCACAACTTGGCTTTTAGACCTCTTCGGGACGAAGGTGTCCTTATAGCGGATGAAGAAAGATTCTACTAAGTTGATCTCCTGGATATGTTCACGCATTCAATAGAGTAGTTTGAGTCTGAATTCAGGGTCTTGGACTTCAAGGAACCTCCTGAACCTTTCCTCTTCATAGTTATCCCAGGTGTTAACTTTTCTCTCAAAACTAGATATGATTTCAATGATCTTTTGCTCTTCTTCGTCGCTGATATTCCTTGTTTCTTTTAAGTATGGAGACAGGTTGGTCAAAGGTCTTTTACAGTTATCTAAAAGTTATTTTCAGAGCATACGAAGCACATATGGGTTTCTTTGGTCTAAAATTGGCTTGCGAAATCCTCTATGGACTTCACAAGGTACTCGATCATCTTCGACTTCAGGAACCTCTTCTTTCTTTTTCTTAAATTGTAGGTGGAACATGCTAGTTGTGTTTTGTTGGACTCCGCTTCGATTAATACAGTTCATTCCAAGTTTTAAATCAGCCATTGATCTCGGAGCTCCACTGCTAGCAGAATAGCTTCGATTTAGTTTCATATCTAAAGTAGCTACATCAGGCCTCTTCTTTTGCCTTTCCTTTGTCAGTCTGCTTCTTCTTTCAATTTGCTTCTTTGTTGGACAATCTACTCGAATCATAACATTACCATACCTCTCAAATTTCGAATATATCGCTTATACCCATTCTTGGGGAAATGTTCTCTTAACTTATGCTTATTCATCTTGGGATACCCCTAAATTTATTCAAAGATCATATTTACAGCAATATGAGGGTCATCCACAAAATTTGTCCGATACTTCTTAGGTGGACTCTCATAGTGAGTATACGCACAGTGTGGATCAGTCGACATTTTTGATAAGAAATTATTTCAATTTTCATAAAGGATTTTGGGGTTTTGGGGTTTTGGGGTTTTGGGGTTTTGGGG